GTGACATATTCAGCAGCACGTATTTATAGGCTGATGTCCCTTTAAATCCGACTGCACGGATTCAGTATAATGATACACATCCGATTTCTTTCTCAGCTGTTTACATTAATTTAAAACATAACCGACTGCGTTTACGAGAATGATCGTCGAGACGGGTACTATTGACATAATTCTGTGTGTATGTGTCTGTTCAAACATGAGGAGGAGATGCGAAAGACGAATCAGCTCGGTCTGAAACGCGTCTCTGTGTGTGCGCACGCTTTGCACGTGTGCATTTGCAACGTTTTAATTTAAGTAGCCTGTTATTAAAATGATTCAGATATCGCACGCCCTTGCGATATTTACATTTGCGATATATCGTTCAGCCCTACTACAAACAATACAAAACTATAATGCTATTTGAAACAGAAAAGATTTATTAATTGTTTACCTGGGTCTTCAGTCTTTGATTAGCTCACCTCACCTCTTATCTGACAAGTATAATTGATTAGTTCATCTCTCGAGTCTTTCGAATCGTTCGTTCTTTTGTCACGTGAAGTGACAGCATTGGTTAGAGAAATTAGTTAATTTACAAGCTTCCTTACAATCAGGTGCATAGTTATTATTATTATTAGTAGTAGTATTAGTATTATCATCATTATTATAATTATTATTTACTCTTACAGTTACGTGATGCGTTTCTGGTCTCAAATTGTAGCATTTTACTTCTTACAGTTTATAAATGTCATGATGGTTCTTTTCCATAACACTGAATGTTGAAACAGGTTATAAACAGTTGGTTATTATTATTAAGTCTCTTTCCGGCTCTGCATAGGTTAAGCTTATGGGTCTGTCACGTGATGAACGAACGACTCGGAAAAACCCAAAGACTCGAGAGATGAACTAATCAATTCTCTTTCCGGCTCAGACTGCATAGGTTAAACTTATGGGGCTGTCACGTGATGAACGAACGACTCGAAAAACCTGAAGACTTGAAACAGGTGAACTACTTGTATAATTCCAGTACAGAACCTATAGGATGTTGCGCATGCGCGACTGAAAGAATCACTCCCAGAGACGACTTGTTCTTCCCGAGTCACATTAAAGATTCGTTCAAAATGAACGAATCGTTCAAGAACGACCCATCACTACTGCGCTTATGGACACTACTTTAATATGCATTGTTCAGAGGCAAGATGATAAGAAAATACCACGTAAACTTTTCTAAAGATAGTAAGTTCCCCTCAGAGATACATTCATGTAAACTCCTACTCCAGTTGTATCGCGATTTGTTTGGCATTTCAACTGATTTGAATCATCACATATTTGAATCGATTTTCAACCGGCTCGCAGTTAATCGTTACATCCCTACTGCCTTCTATCTGCTCAGTGACTGATTGTTTTGTGCTCTTTCTTTGTTGTCTTTTTTCTTCCTCCATAACGTGCTGCTCTTGCAGTCTGCACCTCACCACCTTCTGCTTGCAGTACAAGCCCACAGTCATTGCCTGCGTCTGCATTCACCTGGCCTGCAAGTGGTCCAACTGGGAGATCCCTGTTTCCACCGATGGAAAGCACTGGTGGGAGTATGTGGACAGCTCAGTTACACTTGAACTTCTTGATGGTAAATGGACATTCCCGTAAATTACAGTGTAAGGCTCATTTTGCACTATTTGCTGTCACCCATGATTTATATTCATTAAAATTTTGTTGTAGAACTGACCCATGAGTTTCTGCAAATATTAGAGAAGACACCCAGCAGGTTGAAGAGGATTCGTAACTGGAGGGTAAGTGATTAGAATAGATAAGTCATGCATTTGGTGTCTTTAAATTGGTTAATTTGGATAACACATAGTTGTTGTTGTGTTTATTTCTAGGCTACACAAGCTGCTAAGAAGCCCAAATCAGATGGTCAGGCCTCAGACAGTAGCTCTTTAGTGGGACCTTCATTAACCCAGGACATGTCCTTGATGGATGCCCTTCCCGGGGTTTCTACAAATACAGCATTCTCCAAAGCCTCAACATCTTTCCCAGTGACCCTGCCAAGCAACTCAAGCAGCAGTCTTTCTCTTGATTCCATTGCCAACATGCAGGGAACCTCATACACTTACACCGCCCCCAGTGACTGGCCTCAGGACCAGGTGCGCTCAGACCAGTATTCTGTCAAACAGCTTCCCCCACACAGTTCTATGCATCCACACCGGCCTGACAAAAGCGCAGAGTATAACCCTGCCAAACACGAACACAAGGCCAGCGGTGGGGCGAAGCACCAGGCCACGGCCTATCCTCCACCTGCAGCACCCACACAGAAAATGTCTCTGGACAAGTACAGGGAGAAACACGCTGCTGAGCTGGCTGTGCAGAAACGCAGGCAAGAGCAGCAGAACGTGGAGACGGAGGTCTGTGGTGCTCAGACAGATCACCACAAGCACCTGCCCCAACTGTCTCACGTGCTGCAGGGAGCAGGAGCCACCACTGCCTCACCCCTGAAGATGAAGCTGCCTGTCCCTGGGCAGGACAAACGCGAGAAAGGGAGCTCTTTAAAACTGCGTCTTCCGGTCCCCCCCCAGAGCGAGAAGGGGGGATCAAGTAAGGAGGAGCTAAAAATGAAAATAAAGGTCTCCTCTGAGCGGCACAGCTCCTCAGACGAGGGTGCTGCAAAGAGCAAACATTCCAGCCCGCTTGTGAGCAAGGAGAAACACAGAGACCACTCAGCCCATCGTCACCATCACAAACACGGCCACTCACACACGCACACGCATAGCGGCAATGGCAGGAGCAGCCTTGAGGCACCCGCATCTGCTTCGGCCCTTCGGAGCCCAGTAGGTTCCGGTGGCGATGGCACAAGCTCAGCTTCCAGTTCCTCACGCAAGAGGGTGAACCCTGAAGCCAGCCACAATCACCACTCCAAAAAGAACAAAAGCTCCAAAGGCGGTGCAGGTAGTTCCTCTCATTGTTCCTCTGTTCAGCAGTGTGTGTCATCTCACAGCTCTGTTCTTAACCTTCCCTTCCCCCTCCCCCTGTCACATACCAGGTGGGCTACGGACATCTCAGCACCCTAGTGAAACTGGACAGGAAACCAGTGGAGAGCCATGGCCCTGAGGGTGCCGGCCTAGCTAATGGCCAACACACAGACTACAAAGACACTTTTGACACGCTTGAGTCGCTGTTAAGTGCCCAAGGAATGGACTCTTGAACTGATAGGAAAGAGGATAAAATATAAAAGAAAATCAAGCATAGATTTCATTATTAGGAAGAGGAAAAAAACAGGAATGTGAAGAGTAAGAGAAAGAAAATAAAAATGCTTCCCGATCTTCTGGCAGTTCGGTTCAGTCTCTGTATAACTGCTGCTTCCCTCAGTATTCCCTCACGAGCAGTCTATATGAATGCGTGAGCCAGTATATGAATGTCAGGGCCATTATAGTAAAAAAAAAAAAACTTTTCATGATAAAAGCGTAATGAGTGAAAAGCACCCTCTAAAATGACTGACGCTCCTCTCATTTGTTAAACAAAGTTAGTAGAAGGAATGCAGAATCAAGATTTAAGTTCCATAGTTCCTTGAATGTTTCTTTGTTTCCTTTTCCCTCATCTGATACCATTTATGTGAGCTGCATGTTAATAATGAAAGGGATGAGATAGTTGTTTACTGATTGTGAACAAATATTTACATACATTCTCGTATGTTTTAAGCTGTACCATAACTTCTCAGGTTTGGAGCTGCTTGTAAAATATATATATATATATATATATAGGGGTGGTGGGGATTTTGTGACTCTGTGTTAGAATGTATCATATTGGCAATTCTAGCACAGCCTTCTAGTGATGTGCTCTAGAACTGGTGTTCCATGTTGCTATCAGGAGAGGGTGAACTAGCAGGCAATCCACACCCTGCCAATTACCTGGCATGTTGTCAGGGCCATGCAATTTGTACCTTTTTTGACATTCAAGATGACCTTAAGCTGGATGCCAAAGGCTGTGCCTCAATAAGTATAGTTCTATGAAGTTTACATAACCTTCGCTGTGAAGTGCATTTTATATATTTCTTGGTTTGAAGCAATAGCCTATTTTGTGCAACTCTTTAACAAATTACCAGAAACATACGTGGGTAAAAGGAGATTGAGTTCATTATCACAGTGCTGACCCAAAGAGATCTGGGATTTCATAGGCCCGTAACATTATTTCTGAATATGGATGAATGGTTTTGATTTTTTGATTTTGATTATTTTTAGTGTGAAGATATTGGTAAATGAGGCCAGCATTGTACAAATCATCATTTTACTTTGGATCGCTGAATTGCAGTTGGATAAGGCAAATGCAAACCCTGGCACTTTTTTTTTTGTCTTTTCCCAATTTTATTTAGATTTAATAATAAATTCCATGGTTTCCACTACCTTAACCTCAGTCTTTATGTGATCATTTATTGCGTTAAGAACTTATTGGCACATCTGTCAAATAACTATTTCCAGATCTTCACTGTGTTATTTTATAAATTAAATTTTTCTCCATGTTAAATTATGTTGCCTCACAATGTCAGTTTGCTTTGTATCATTGTTTTTAAAAGTCACTTTTTGATTTGGTGAATTAAGTTTTCAGTTCATTGGCCTATTGCAGGCTTGGCTGTGATGAGAGATGAATGGATGTCTTAACAGTTCCTCTGCTGAAGGTCGTTGCTTTGGATCTCTGTAAAGAGGAAAATTGTTCCACTGTTATATAACGAAGGATAATGTGTGGAGAACTTACACCATGTCTACACCGGATCCGAGCGGCGCAAAAAAAACCCCCACAGAACCCATTATAATCAGTGATGCTGTCTGCACTGGATGCAACACGACAAATCCCCGACAGTAAACTGATGCCTCGTTCTATTTATGATTAACTGACACCAAGTTCAAATGATTTTTAATGGTCGCTTTGTTGCGTCCAGTGTAGACAGACATTAGCTGTTGTGGTGCGACACGACAACTATCGCATCCGGTGTAGACACCGTGTTAGACTAATAATATACAACAAATTAAAAAATTAGCACAAAATATCCAGAGCAAACATTTCATTTCTGAGTAAAAGTCAATTACCTGGTTAGGCAAGCCTTGACAAAGCTCTTTGCATGTGTAGAGAAGTCATCAGTCAGAGATGGCATTAAGCCCTTTTGAGCCCCAATGTAAAAGAGGGCTGCCATCTTGTTCATGTGAGCAAGGGGTGGCTTTCCTGTGGCCATTTCATACACAGTGCAGCCAATGCTCCAGATGTCTGATTTTCGTCCATGACCTGTCTCACTTATCACCTCTGGTGCCATCCAGTATGGGGTACCATGCACAGACTTCAGAAGGTCACTCTTACTTCCGGTTGAAGTCTGAAGACAGCTAAGACGGCGAGCACAACCAAAGTCGATTAGCTTGACCACTCCGTTGGGCATAAGCATAATGTTGTTCCCCTTCAGATCTCTATGGATGACCCTGTTAGCGTGAAGATAGGCAACACCTTCCAGAATTTGTCGAGTGTATAGAACAAAGACCTTCTCTGGCAAGGGTCCAAACCGGCTCAATATGTTTGAGATGGAGCCCCCTGGAACATACTCCATGAAGATGCTTACAGTATTCTCACAGAGAGCTGTGCCCAAGAAACCAACAATGTTAGTGTGATGAAGGGTCTTAAGAAGATCCACTTCTCTCTCCAGGCGTTCATACTCTTTTTCTGCCATCTCTGAAGTTGAAGCATCAAGTGCCACTTGTTTTACTGCAATCAGCTGACCTTGACTGGTTAGCCCACAATACACCTATGAATAGTAATATAAAATAAAATGTGAAACAATACAAGCTCTACATTTGATTATACTTGGAGAACTTTTTGCAAATCATGATTGTTTACGTTAAAGATGAGAAGGGTGCTTTAAAATGATTGCATTTAAATGCTTACTGTTCCGTAAGCTCCTTTACCCAGAACCTCTCCTTTTGTCCATGTGATGGCATCATCTGAGCAAGATCCATTAATGTAATGCAGTTCACCTGAGAATGAACCCTGATGGACAACAGAAACTCAATGTAACGGCCCATAAAATAGCGCAGGGGTAGCCAACTCTGCTCCTGGAGAGCTATCATCCTGCAGATTTCAGCTCCAACCCAGTCAAACACATCTAAACCAGCTAATCAAGGTTTTCAGGGTTATTTTTACCATTATTACTTTGTAAATTACAGGTAGCAGGGCCCCAGACAAAAAAAAATTGAGTAAGGAGCCATTGGCTACTATAAGCAAAAAACGTAGGCGCCAAATACATTTTTTAGGTGCCACAGAATAAACGTGTTTTATTTATTTATTTTATTATTATTATTGTTTATTTATTGTTTTTACATTTAACATTTTAATCATACTGTCGTGTTTATGTCTCATCTTTTCTTGACTTTATCAGCATTTTAATCCATCTTGTAGATGACCTGGGAACTAAGGTTCACTTAAAGTGGGAACTAAATGTCTTTTCCAACTTGAAATATACAGTCACAAAGAATTGTTCATTACACAGAATCTGTACCAATATCATGGACCATAAGCATCACTTGGCCACTGAGTGTACAGGTGCATCTCAATAAATTAGAATGTCGTGGAAAAGTTCATTTATTTCAGTAATTCAACTCAAATTGTGAAACTCGTGTATTAAATAAATTCAATGCACACAGACTGAAGTAGTTTAAGTCTTTGGTATTGAATTTATTTAATACACGAGTTTCACAATTTGAGTTGAATTACTGAAATAAATGAATTTTTCCACGACATTCTAATTTATTGAGATGCACCTGTAGTTTGGGCTCCTCCTACATGCATCCTATAAATGTTGTCATATGTCACAGTCTTTCACACATTCAGTCTGTTTTTCTTCATTAGTAAAATGCAATTTTATAGGAGTTGGATCATGTAGGCAACAGGTTAAGTACAAATATTAATAACGAATATAAATGCAATAGCGCAAAAATATAGCAAAATGCTCCTCTTTAGTTATTTTTCTAGCTGACTAATGTAGTTTGGGCTCCTCCTACATGCATCCTATAAATGTTGTCATATGTCACAGTCTTTCACACATTCAGTCTGTTTTTCTTCATTAGTAAAATGCAATTTTATAGGAGGCGTTGAATCATGTAGGCAACAGGTTAAGTAAAAATATGAATATTCAATAGCGCAAAAAAATAGCAAAATGCTCCTCTTTAGTTATTTTTCTAGCTGACTAATGAGCTTATGGACACCAAATGGTTATTCTGAGGTAAATGTGTTATTACGTTGCAATGTTTATAAGTTTTACACGTTTTCCGCAGTTTGACACAGAAGGAGCGATTACATGAGACATTTCAGTAAGTTGTACTGTAGGCACTCGTATATAGCCTACCTTTTGATATTAATTCATGTTCATTATGTATTATAGTAGTAAGAGAATGGGTTCACTTGCCGCCTGAACTGAGGCGCTAAAGCGATTGCGCCTGCTGCATTAAAGAGCGCCAAAACCGTATTTGTTTGAATTTCGTTATTAATTTGGCATAATTTTAAAGCTGATACTTTGTTTATTAAAAAGTAACAAAGCACAAAGCTTTTTTTGCGATTACTGGACGGCAAGTGCGCTTCATAGTATGAAGTTCACGCATTAACAGAACACAGCATATAGACGTGTGCACGAAATAGACGCTGCTTTTCTGCACTTTCACTTCGCACGTCTCCGTCATTTCGATCTCTCTCGCGCTGTACAGCTGAGCTGCGTTTAGCTGGTGTGCGTCAGCGCTGCTGTGCTGCAGAGATGAGCACGGTTTCAAACTCTTTTTCCCACTAAAACTTTGATGCGCGTCGTCTCAGTTTAATACGTGAACATAACAAAAGATGTGATCGCAAAACAATCAGGAAAAAAAGGCATTACATGCAAATATATAGTCGCCAGTGGCGACTTCAGCGAAAACTTCACTCGCAAATTAATAGGCTATTTTTGGTAGCAAATGCGACCGTTTTAGTCGCAGTCTGGAGCCCTGGGTAGGTATGTTGAAGCAGAGTTGTAGTCTGAATTCTGCAGGAAAGTAGTTCTCTAGGAGCAGGGTTGGTTGATGTACAAGTGAAATATGTTAGAATGTTACCTTATTTAAAAAAATTCTAAATCTTGAAGGCACATTATTTTTGAACTCTGTACTATCTTCCTTTTCAGTCTTGAGTGTTTCAACATCTCTTCTCTCCAGTGAAATCAACTCCTCTGCCAAAAACCTCAGCAGGTCATCTGTGAGAGGTCCATCGCCAACCTCATCTAGAAAGCTGTGGTACACAGGTGAGACTGTTCCGTCACTTGTCCAGGTATTGATAAGAGGCTGCGATGGCAATTTGGTTTCATTTGATATTTCAGGTTCACTTTTGTCACCTGCATCAATTGGAGTTTGTTCTTGATATATTATTTCCTTTATGAGACTTGTTTTGGATACAGTGTTGGAAAGTACTTCCCCAATCACTGATAGTATGGAAGTACGTTGTCTCTCTGCGCTTGATAATTCCCTTCCATCTCCCTCGATGTGCATTTCAGATTTATTTTGCTGGACTGCTCCACAAGCAGAAGTTACAAGGACATGGCATTTATTCTCTGAAGAAGGTGGGTTTTTCTTTATCCCTTTGGTAACATTAGCCCTCCGCTTGAGTTGCCTGCATTTAGCTCGACTGGATCTCTCTGATTGAACTTGTTTCCTTCGGTTAACCTCCACTGTTTTTTGGCCCTTCAGTTTTCCATTGGTTTGTCTTTTAACTTGAAGTGCTGTATGGACCTGTCTGGTTCTCTCTGCAGAACTGTCTACTCTAAGATTTTCATAAACCGGAGTTGCAAACATTTCGTAGATTGCTGGACCTTCATCTCCCTGACTGATCTTCAGAAACATGTCGTTGTAAGTGACATAATCCACGGCAGACCTTGTTCGCTGTACTGGTCCTGTTACTGGCTTTTTGGATGCTTTTGCACTTCTTAGATCTCTGTGAAGTTGGTTTTGGCTCTTACTGCTTACTTTCTTGTCATCACTCAACTTCATGTGTTGAAAAGGTTCAGAGACCCCCCTTGCTGTTGGGGCTTCATGTGCAGTTTTTTTACAAGGTGCTCTTGGCAAATATTTGTTGTTAGACTCTCCTGCAATAACTAGGCTGGTGGGTTTACTTTCTCTGAGTTGCACCATTGAGTGAATTGGTGAATTTATCCTCTTCCTTGTGGTTTTAACAGTACTTTGTTTTCTGTGTGCCAGAACATTGAATGACTGATTTGTCTGAATAGATGTTTTGCCTTTACTGTCATTTATTTTGATCATCTTAACTGGTTTGTTCTTTTCATGTGAAGTTTGTTCTATTACATCAGTATCCACAGTGGCGAGGTGCTTCTCACCTGCAATAAAACAGGTTCCTCTGTCTATAGGTTGTGTTTGTCTGATTATGCTTTGGGGTTCTTCAGAGACAGAGCAGCAGTCCATAGTTGGGGACTTACTCAGAAATTCTGAGTTTTCAGTTGTTTTAGTAGACTTGCATCTTATTTCATCCTCGACTTCCCTGACAGTCAATGATTTGATAGATGTATAGCCTTCCTTGTTGTCTGAAGTTATATCTTTTCTAGTATTGTGTATTACTGAACTGACAAAGTCCTGAAAATCCAAATAGGTCCCCAGTTCCAGATTCAGTGACTTATCTAAGCCTACATGAATCTTGTGTGTATCTTGAGGCACCGTCTCATCCTCTTCTTGGCTACTACTGCTGCAGGAGTTGCTCTCTTCACTGCCTGCTCTGGTGCCTCTGGATCTTCTGGAAGACGGCCTGGAGATCCTTTCCAGTCTTTTCCTGGACTGTGATGAGATGGGCAAGATGCTACTTTGTTTTAAGAGCAGTGGGTGCTCAAGACTTGAACGTGCAGAGCCATTCCTGTATATATTGTCCAGCGGAGCAAGATGTTTAGGTGACTTTGAACATAGAGTAGGTAGTGTCTGAAATCACAGCACAACATTCAAAGTGGTATTAAAGGCATGAGTTTTTGCATTTGTTGAAATTCGTTTAAAAAAAAAAAAGAAATACCTCACCTTTTGTCTGCTATCGTCATCCCCTGTGTGAACACCTCCAAGTCCTGTAGTTAATTGAAAACTTTTATAATATGCCTTACTTTCATGTGACAACCTTCTCAACAATGCTTTTCATTCATTACAATCAAAGTTGCACACAGACACTAAAATTTAAAAGTAGAGTTACTTCCAGCTACCTTAACTAAGCGAATGTGTCCTCACCTTTGGTGACACAGCAACCACAAGGTAGGCAACATATGTTTGTTTGAAAACTACCCCTTGAGCATCCTGTAATCCTCTCCTTAATGGATTTTACAAAGTATTAGTGAAGGTCTCTTCTAATGCATGGTCTTCTGATGACAAAATACCCTAAGTTCCTGCACTCATTCTTCTCAGACACAGCTGATCAGGTGAGGAGACAGCTGTGGAAGCTCTCCACAGGCAAGTTTCTGGGGTAAATGTAGCTCTGTCAGGATTATGTTCACTAAGATGGTGAGTTCTTCACTCTCTTTTAATCCATTCTGTTTTTCTAGCTGTAATGCAAGCTCCTGGCAATACGAGTAGATGTTTCCTTGATCACAGACTAACCTAATAACAGACTCTAAATAACAAAAATGATCAACACTGGCACTACTTCCCTTCTTGCTTCTTATGCAACAGTGATTGTGGCTGTGAATCCACAAACACTTTTGTACATCCTCGCACACCCAGTCTGGATAGCATGCAGCTTTACTAAAGGCTAGTTCACACTGCACCGGCAGATGCAGAACCAGCGACGAAAAACATCAGATTACAGTACAGCTAGGGGCGGACTTAACCAATAAGCGAGGTAAGCGGCCCCTTAGGGCCCCGGGTAATCAGGGGGCCCCATCTGATATTGCAGAAACCTATTTGCAGCGTTGAACAATAGCCAATCACAGACATATCTGTTAATTTCTTGAACGCAATGACAAGAAGTGTTTAAGTTAGAATCCACTCACCGCTCAAAATGCAGAGTTTGCTGAGTTCTGCAAGCTCGGGAATCCTTTGTGCAGATTCATTGTGCAGTGTAGAGTACTTATTAACGGAACGCCGTGAGATCGCGATGAACTGAAGTGAGTGACAGCTTTTAGTGAACAGAGATATTCACCTCAGTAAAGAAAGTATTGTTTCAAGTCATAATTTTATTTGTCTTGATGTTTCAAAATGTCCTTGGCACACCGGCGCAAACTCGTAGCCTATAAAATGCACGGATAAATGCACTCGTATAAATGCACAAATGCGATGACTGGAGATTTTTTGCATAATAATAGATTACATTTTCGATTTGTTTCTCGGCAAACCCTACCGTATGCCTTCAGAACACTTTGACTATGGAATGAGTTGCATGGGATAATTTCATCTTTGTAAAAATATTGAGTTTACAATTTATTAATTGGACAAGTGCAAGCATTTTTTTTTATCTTCTTTTGTGATCCAAAAAAAAAGGTAGCCTAATATGGCTTTAGAACAGCATCAGGTTGACTGATTACTGGTTGTAAAGGGATAAATAAACTATGAGAGCGAGTGAGCAAAATAAGGGTTAGACCTAAAAGAGCACATAGTTATTGTGTTGGGGCCCCCAAATCACTAAGTCCGCCCCTGAGTACAGCTTAAGCATTCTGCGACCTGACAATTGCTGATTGAACATGTTCAGTCAGAGAAAGCAAATGGTGAACCCATAACAACACATCGATTGGACTAAACCTGACAATGTCTGTTGGCATTGTTAGCATCTATCGGTGCAATGTGAAATAGCCTTAACTAGTGGACCCAGTTACATTTTTGGCTTACTGTGTTTGCTTATTCACTGAAATCTGTCAAACCACATTACAGGAAATGCATGTATGTGCATATTTCTGTATGTATCTATTTATCAGTGTCATTTTTTAAATGCAAGCAAATTCTTTCGCAATAAACAACTGTCTATACTTACTATTATGAATGTTAGTCCGTGCTTGCAGCAGCACACTTGCATGAAGAAGAGGGTCCATTAGCATTGGTGCTGACTTACTGAGCTGAGTGACATGAGCAGCAGGAAGAACAGGTATTGAGGAAGAAGTCAAACTGAGTGATGGATGCAAGGACCTTATTTTGCCCCAGTCTTTTCTGTTGTTCCATAGGCTAGGCAAGGATGATGTCCGACTAAGTGAAAATAAATTTACATTAGCATGTTCACATTGTTCAAAGCATTTACAAATTAGCTATATCTTCTTTTGAAACATGCCGAATGTTTCTTAGCAGTAAGGGCAGAGTTAAATCTTCCTTAGACAAGTTCCCCTCTCTTTCTCTCTCTGGAGAATGGTACACCCTGGAACCGTAGTCTTATGCTGACAACGGCTTGATCCTGTAACTGTACTCCTCTATACAGTCTTTGTGTAGAAATGAGAGCCACTGAATGGACATGAGGTTTCATGCAGGCAAATTGTTTGTGAGGACCGTTTGTGCATTTTATGTTTACACAGCTGCTGTTGGTGGTGTTTAAGTGTGATTTGTTGACTTGTGATTGGCTCTCTTGTTTATCTGATTGCTAATTTAATTTGATGAAGAAGCGATGAATGGGTGTGTATGCTGTCAGCTGGCTAACCTGCTTCGCTTCCTCTCATCTCTGCCATCTTGTCTGATGTCTATCTTTGGCTCCATCCAACCCTCAACGCAAATCCTGTTATCTGCAGACACACAGCCAAATACACTCTGGGTAAAAAGAGTCATGTAAATTGCTATAAAAAAAAAAGTAATGTAATGACTATGAGTAATGACTACATAAAATTAAACTTTGTCAATTACATTTTAAAATAAAATAAATGAAAAAGAAAACAGCTGTTTTGATTTGTAAACTGTCTTTCAAAAACATTTTAAAAATCTTAAAGACCACAAATCATTGAACTGTGCATATATACACACACAACTTGTTAACTAAATATATATATACAAAATGTACCTTTCTTTCACAAAGTCAGTCCTCTCTAAATTAGCCCAAGCTTCAGTGAAACCAAATGTTTTACAGTTCCTGTGAGTCTTGCATAATCCTTATCTGTGAGTGTCAGAGGTTCTCTGTGGATGACTCTGTAGTCTGACTCATTTGAAACAGAGAAGCCCAAAAAGCAGAGTCAGACACACCCCTCCTATTGTCATGGATTCTCTGAGGGACGGTCTGAGACTACTCTTTGTGTGTGTGTGTGTGTGTGTTTGTTTGAGGGTGGTGGAAAAGGTTGCCAAAGCTTTTGAAAGCCCGGTGGACACAGAGAGTCACTGTCATTCTGGAATGATCCTCCAGGTGTACCTCTGACACTGTATTCTGTCTTCTAGGTTTAACAATGCACAAGTCTAGTTGTTGACTGACCTTGGTGGATATCTGCATGATTCTTTTGTGCCATGATAATCTCAGCTGAATCTTTCTGCAAAAAAATAAAGTTCAGTAAAGGAAAGATTATCAATGTCACAGCTGGTATGCAGCAAGAAACAAAAGCTGTGAGGTTGGCCGTCGCTTACAATAACCTTTCACAGAATCACACATGACTAATTCACCTGTTGACTACTGACCATCTGGAGGCCATCTATTCAATCAGATAACACCATCATTAGCCAGATGTGATGCATGTGACCAAGACGCAGCCAAATGAAATGCCATGAAGGGCTTAATCAAAACATTTCAGAGTAAATAAACTACATTTAATTGGCTTTACATTTACAATCCCGCTGAGCCTTATTTATTATTTGACTCCGTTCATGCCGTCATTATGTTTGTATGCTTTTGTTCACACAGTTCAAATGGATTTCTGCAAGAAACACTGTCAAGATTCATTGTATATAATGAGTAAGAAGTGGGAGAGCGCCTGACCTTCATCCCATCTGAATCTGGTGTGCAACAGCCATGTGTAGGAGAGCAGCTGGGGAGTACAGAAGGACTCGTTGGCCAATAAGATGCGTCCAGACACGTGAATATTGTTTCTCCAAAATACAATACAAATACTAAAATAAGTCATCACACTGAAAACATAAACAGGTTTCTAATGAATTGCACTACAAATAAATGAATGCTTTTTCTTATAAAACTGTTTAAACAGTGGTATAAAGTCTATAAACAGTGTTTTGAGAATTAAATGTTATAACTGGTATTGCTGGTACCACTGCATTCACATGCTTGACAAATAACTTCAATGAAAACATTGATTGGACTACATATAAAATATGATGATTACGTACAATGTAGATCTAGTCCATGATTTATGAAGATAAAATAATTTTTTATCCACCTTATTACATTTACTTATTACCACCTTATTACTGCACTTTCACAGAAAATAGCTTACTTCCACATTGCAAAATAAAGGGAATATATAGTGTTTTACCTGTTTGCATTGAAGAATCCATTATATGGAAGAGTTCTTCCTTCTTGGTGGTCTTGATCTGAGAGACGTACCACAGAGCAGTATGACCTCTTCCATCAAGGATCTTCATATCACTGGAAATCAGAGCAGGTGGATTCGTGACTGTTTTTAATGAGAGAGGTCGATCAAATCACCATTCATCTTAAATTCCGTTTTACTGTTCACAATTCTACATATTCCAAATACATTGCATTTCTATTTGTTGTTTATATTTTGCATTTCCATTGCAAATCCAAGAAGGGATTGACAAAATTAAGTTGAAATTTGTTTCCTTACACTGGAAAAGACATAAGTTCCTTCACCACTTCCACAGGTTGATATTCCCATGGCGTCTCAAATCCTTCAAACAGATCCACATCCCTTACAGCCAGCATCAGTGGGGTCAGTCCATCTCTGTTCTGTTTATTTAACTCCAACAAGTCTGCCTGGGCCTGTAACACACAAACAACATAAGCTTCATTTGTTGTAATTACTCCAGCCATTGCCTGAGGTGAGCGTAAAAATATCTCACTCTCACATGACAGCTGGCTAATACTGATCCATCAGAGAACTCACTATGGAGTCTAGCCTGCTTTGTGTGAACCTAAGGTTGATATCGCATTACTAACAGTCAAATGGCAAGTGGAAGTTGAAGTCTGAGCTGCTCACCAAGAGACGTACCACAGAGCAGTATGACCTCTTCCATCAAGGATCTTCATATCACTGGAAATCAGAGCAGGTGGATTCGTGACTGTTTTTAATGAGAGAGGTCGATCAAATCACCATTCATCTTAAATTCCGTTTTACTGTTCACAATTCTACATATTCCAAATACATTGCATTTCTATTTGTTGTTTATATTTTGCATTTCCATTGCAAATCCAAGAAGGGATTGACAAAATTAAGTTGAAATTTGTTTCCTTACACTGGAAAAGACATAAGTTCCTTCACCACTTCCACAGGTTGATATTCCCATGGCGTCTCAAATCCTTCAAACAGATCCACATCCCTTACAGCCAGCATCAGTGGGGTCAGTCCATCTCTGTTCTGTTTATTTAACTCCAACAAGTCTGCCTGGGCCTGTAACACACAAACAACATAAGCTTCATTTGTTGTAATTACTCCAGCCATTGCCTGAGGTGAGCGTAAAAATATCTCACTCTCACATGACAGCTGGCTAATACTGATCCATCAGAGAACTCACTATGGAGTCTAGCCTGCTTTGTGTGAACCTAAGGTTGATATTGCATTACTAACAGTAAAATGGCAAGTGGAAGTTGAAGTCTGAGCTGCTCACCATCAGGTCCTGTAGACAGCAGAGGTCTCCCCTCCAGGCTGCTAGTGAGAGCTGCTTCTGATGGGGTACGTCTCTGATCATAGCCGTCAACAGCTCCCCCTGGAGTGCTGGTTGACTAACATGAAGAGCTGTCTGATTGCTACTGTTACACAGTGTAGCATCGGCTCCTCTTTTCAGAAGGAAATGCATAACCTGTTTTCAAAATATGTTAAAAGCAATGTATCTGAATTATTAAAATGATAATGAACCAGGTAAATGATAGGCTTTAAGGTTTATCATATTTAAGCAAACAAACAAGTGAGAGTTCTGACATTACGATTTCAAGTGTGATATTGCTTTTATACAACAATTCAATAAACAAGTTAATACTGAGTAATCTACATTTTAGACAATAAAAAGAAAATGATGTTGCAGCTTCTGAGCGAGTGCTATTGAGCTGTGAATGAATCTGACGTTTAACTGATCAATTGAGTAAATGATTCAATGACTTAAAGGTGCAGTAGATCTTGGAAAATGCTAACTTTAGCCTGATAGCACTGAAAGCGAACATCCCACCCTCCCTGCAATTTCCGTCCAAAGCCACGCCCCCTGAACACATTTACGCTCACAGACCAGAATACCAGAGACAACATTACTACAATAAGCTACATCAGCGGTTCCCAATTCCAGCCCATGTTCCGAAATGAAGTAAACTTCAACGGATTTCCCCTGCTCAGTGAGGAGGGAGCAATGAACACTGTGTAGGGATCATATCGATCGGAACACAGTTCATGCACATAGCTCATTTCTAACGAGCTGGCGCGAGGACTGGATTAAACGCTGGGCTACATCATGTGTCATTCACCTGTGAGAAAACTGTAAAAGTACTACAATACCAGGAAAGAAGATCGGGTTGTTGATGTTTGTCTGGCATTCTCGCTCTGTCTGCACAGCGTGCGTGAATGAGCTGATGACGTATCCTGTCTGCGCGAACCGGGTGCGCAGAGGTATGCTAATACATACGTTGACAGGCAGGTAGGAAAGCATATTAAAACGCTCTGACCGAGCATTTTGATTGGACGAACATTTCTTGGCCCTACGCCTTCCACAGAATATATAAATACAGATAAATACATTTAGACCACTTAACTTAATGATTGCTATCAGGATGTGGAGACTTTCAACCAGCATAACAAATATTTTTTCTGAAGACAATCACCTATTGCACCTTTAATAAAATGCCCCCTATAACCTCATTCACTATTCCCTACATTACTCCACTATTATAGTCCACTGAATGAGTTATTACATTCAAAAAAAAACAAATTCAGACACTGAGTGTAACGGAAGTGCTACAGACATGGGAATTTCTTTGGTGGGGCACTCATCGTATTATGGAATTGAATGAGTGCACTTGATAGTGTCCACTATTGTTTGAGACACCACTACAAATGGCTGTCCCTCAAATTGTGCACTATATAATGAGGAATGATTTCGTACAGTGTTTAATTTCTTTGAATGAATCAGTTGAGTGGATGACTTGGCAAGGATGATGTCAGACTAAGTGAAAATTAATTTACACACATTCACATTGTTACACAAAGCATTTACAAATGAGCTATATCTTCTTTTTCTACATGCTGAATGTTTCTTAGCAGTAAGGGCAGTTAAATCTTCTTTAGACAAGTTCTCCTCTCTTTCTCTCTCTGGATAATGGTACACCCTGGAACCGTAGTATTATGCTGACACGTCACTAACTCATCAAAACAGTCACTTGTCGCCACCTAGTGGTTAAACAGTGTAACATGAAGGAAGATTCACTACAAAAGATTCCCTGTAGTACAGACGCACCCAAACGGAGAAAAACAAACAATTCAAAGCCGCCAGTGGACTGTATATTATTACTCTTAAAACTAACCGTTGTTTAATGCATAATGCAGCAATTCAATCAAGAAAACAGAAAGCATTAGAAAGTAGCTACTACAGTAAGTGAAACATTATGCCCATTATTGTAATGAATACATTAAACCCCTATTACACTACATTAGCTTTCCTACACAGAAGTCAGCTATAGTTTCCACTTTGTTTTGGTCGTATCACCCTTTTGTCTCATACCCTAGTAAGACCCGTTCTGCAGGCACTGATAAGAGGAGTGGAGCCCTGTGAATCATGAGGCAGGTCAATCTCTTCCCAGGCATAGACTCCCTGCTCCAGTCCCAGAGCCACAGCCTCAAGCTCGTCCTTCAACAGCTGCTCCACAAATCTGCTTCTTTCATGTTTACTCATGCTCCAGTGTTCTGGCAGATGCACAAACACAAACAATTAGCTGCCGTTCTGATGCACTAACTGTAATGAATGTCGTCTATTCACAGCATGCACAAGAACTGCTTTGTTGCCCCCGTGTGGTTGTGTTTATGATGAAGGCAATGCATAATCTCAGTACTGTTTAAAGTGCAAGGACATTTTATGTATTTTTAAAGATATTTTTATATCTTTAATAAATTGTAAATGTTTGCGTTTGGAGTTATTGATTAGCACATTTTTCCCCAAAGCAACTTCCTGTATAATTTACTAATAAATGTAATATTAGTAGATAGTAGAAATTAATAAATGACCATGCATTTATTGCATAAGAAAAACAAGCCCTTATAAACCAATAATCACTATTCATAACGCATAAGTCAGCATATAACTTACCAAGAAAAAATATTTGATGTTAAACAATAGTTATTAAATAAGGAAATGAAAAGTCTTTTCTTTTGCTTCAATTTAAACAAGCAAGACTCACCTGTGTAAGCAGTTTGTTACTTCTCTGGACTGAAATGTTTTGATTTAAATGAAGTTAAATTAGTTCATGTGTTTACGTCCTTGTCTTTTAAGGGTCAGTCCTTTGTCTTCATTGCGCATTTGCCTGAAGCAGCTTTGAGTTTACAGCCTGTTGCCAAGGAGACGCCGGCTTTGGCATGAAAACAATGAACTCACCATGAGACATTTGTTTTGGTTTCAAAGGGGACGTGTGCAGAAATGTACACATGAGCATTTGCATTTGGTTGTTATGATAATAAAATAATTATATTATAATAATTATATAATTGTAATTCTTTAGTTTTTTTATAGTGTTTGCCAGACACTTTTTTTTCTTTCTTTTTTTTTTTTTCTTTTTTTTTTACATTTTAGTGAACATAAGATACTAAAGGAATGGAAGAATTTTAAATACCTATTCTATTATGCCAATATGTTACACCTTCATCACAAACCTTATGTCCCAGTCAGCATATAAGGTGTCTCTTGTAGCCTCTTTGCACTTGTGTTGAGCAGAAGCTGTCCTGGGAGTCATTCTGTGGGAGATTCAGTTGCATTGATTGACCTTCACTTGGACCAGAGGCCTTCATAGGTAGAATTACACAGCAGTATTCTAAAGAATCACTGTAATGATCCACTTAATTTATCATGATCTAATTTAATCTTTGCTATACCTTTTACAGTACTTACTGGAACTCCATACAATTTTACAGTTGGCTGTAACACTTTAGATTTAACATTTTAGTTTAGACACTATAACAAAAAATACAAGACTTGAACAACCACGCAGAACCACACGACCTCTAGTGTTCACTGCGGATATACTGTTGATGTTGTAGTAAACAATAGCTTTGATTAAAATCCTTAAGGGGAAAAAAAGTTAAACCGCACATTATCTAAACGTGTGTGTGTGTGCGTACGCATATAGTATATAGCCTATATAGATAGAAAAGCAACTGAATAGAAAACGAAAATTTAATTCGTTTACAATCGCACAATTGATATACTAAATATTTGATTAGAAAATTTGTGGTGTTTTTATTATACATTCACATACGTTTCGATATAACTTGATTTTTCCATTTCAAAAACCATCACTGAATGCAAAAAATCCATCCGCGGTTTGTTTTATCACTCCAGCAGGAAGTGTTTGTTTGGAAAATTTACTTTTCATGTCATATGCATTATTTAGACTAGTCGATGTATATTGTTTTCACATTTTTTTAAAGTCTAGCTTGTTTGCTTTGTTTACATGTAAAGTTATGTTTATGTTTTGTAGAGCATCTTGATGACATCATGATGGCGCATATGTAAGAGTACGTAAAATAAATGATATTTTGCAAAGGTGCTGTTGATTTTTTTTTTTTTTTTTTTTTTTTTTTTTAAGTTTTATTGCTTTTTTTGGAAGGTTGATATGTAACAAAAATACAACATTACCATAATTATACAAGGTTACATATTTTTCAGGCACAATTTCACCATGTAATAAAATACAATACAAGACAGAACACAAAAGAGTTTTCTATTAATTTTGAGACCTTACAGTAATATATGTCCAGAACTCTTCCCAGGGAGACAACCCCTCCTCAACACCATTCGGCACTCGATTAAGCATGGGTTCATAAGATGCCATTTCTACCATTGCACTGGCCCACTCTTTCAATTCTGGGGCTTTTACTGTCTTCCATTGTCTCAAAATAATCCTACTTGCCATTGTAATACATGCCATAATAACAGAAAATACACGCTTTGAAACATTAGGTATTTGAGACTTGTCACAATAGACACAATTTAGAGGTTAAAGATATTTCGGAGCCATACCAGCAACCTAAGACATCCATAACTTGTTTCCAGAACGGTTTAACAAGACTACATTCCCAAATACAATGTAAAAAGGTACCTGTTTCCAACTGGCATTTCCAACATAAATTGTCTTTCATCAGTTTCATCCAGTAAAGTCTTACCGGAGTGTGGTAATAGCCTATCTATGAAGAATCTTATACTGAGTGGACTTCCCCCTTGCTTCTTTTATACATTTACCACACCCCACCAAGATGCTGGACCATTTTTCTGGGTCAATTTCTTCGCCAATGTGCTGTTGATTTATTTATTTGAGTAACTTTGTGATTTGTTGCAGTCATGGGCAGCTCTGCTGAGAGGCGCTGTTGGACAGCAGAAGCGCGTGCGGAAGGAGCGGCCGCCGTCAGCCAGAGCGCGTGCCGTGGAACTGTCCAGTGCTGATGCTCTTCAAACGCTCGAGGTGCACTCGGCTTTAGCTCCTAACAGCGAGCGCCAACGACAACAAAATTACACTCCTTTTAAACGATTATGTGATATGTTACGTGCTATTTGAAAAGGTGTCCAGGACTTTATTTGATCTGAGGTTGTTTTCAGTTTCAAAGCTTCTTTCAGTGTGAATGGACCGTACGGACTGAACGACTGGCAAGCGACGAGACATTTTGATTGTTTGTTTGATCGATGCATTCCTCAGCAGACTGCGGAGTGGACGACCAGATCTGCTGACCGGAGAGAAAGTTTCCTTGGATAAAATCATACACGATGGTGGATGCGGCTGAATGTTGTGTGAAGGTGATGTGCCGATTCAGGCCACTTAACGAATCGGAAATCACCAGAGGTGACAAATACATACCGAAATTCAAAGGAGAAGACACCGTGGTGATATCGGTAAGATGTCTACAGAGTCTACAGATGTTATCAAGGCGCGCATTTTCCTTTTTTGAGCAGGAGGTTATATATGATGTCACTTCGGATAAATATAGGTCTATTAGTCTAACTTGACTCATTGATGTGATCATTTCATATCTTTCTGGGTGAATCATATTCGTATGGTTCTTTCATATTATAAAGTTTAATCCTGAATTAAGTCTTAGTTCTTAGTTTTCCCTCTTAGACAGCCCAACATTTAATCTGAAAAACAAATCCTCTTTCATTTGAAAAATTGTTGCGCTTTGAGTATTTATTTTGCTGTGCGTGTTTTGTTGTTTTTGCGAGAATCGCTCCACATAGTGCTATGTTGAACATGGTTTCTTTTGTTTTACTTAAGCGAGTTTGTTTCAATTTTGTATATATTTTTTTAAATTACATACGTTATCGACCTCTGTACATAGAGCTGTTGAACATTCCCTTATGGCAGTAAAAAGATACAGGACTCACGATGACCCTACATATGACCCTACATTGCTACGTGTTGTCACAATGAGACCGACCATGAAATAATTGATTATAGGCTTCTCAGCAAAAAATAAACGGCAAAACTGTATGAAACACAAAACAAAAATGTGGAAGGTAATGTACAACAACAACACATTGTAACTGATAAATTGCGCAAATCACATAAAACACGTGGTTCAAAATGTCCAGAAATCACATTTTTCTCTTTTCAAATTTAGGCTACCTTTATTGTATAGGCCTATAGTTGACTCTTGTCTGAATGCACTTTGTGTTCATACCGAATAGATATAACAATGATATTTTAGGTTTTAGACATTTTAGTTTGGAGGGCAGAATTAAAAAAAATATTCTCAGACTCTTTGTGACAAATTTCCAACATGTTAACCTTTGAGAATTTCAGTGTTCTCCGTATTCCATCTCACCATAATTTCTTTGTTTACTTTAAAATCATAATTTTCTTAATGACCACCAGTTGTGCCAGACTTTTTAAAGAATAATTTAGAATGGCAAGTTACCTGTCACGTATTTCATGTAGTTTTATTCATTTCACTTTAACCTTAATTCAATTACATCAGATTTATTTATTTAGCTAGCTAGCTACATTAAATTCGTCTGCTTTGTTTTGAATGCAGATGTAGAGTGTAGAATGATTGTTGGCCATGTGCACTTTTAGGGTTGGAATTATTTGTCGTTACTCAGTCTGGAAGATACATGCTGATTATGGGTCAGAGCCTTCATTTATCTTTTAATAACAGAATATGATTTATATTTTAGTAGTGGGATCAAATTAAAGAGCATGTGATATCTGGAATGAGAGTCTGAGTGACTGTGTGGGTGTGTGACGTGCTATAAATAAGCTGGCCTGTCGACACAGTAAGATACTGATGGTTTTAATGTTTTACAGTAAACCTCCAGAAATCCCTTGTGCAAACACAATAGCCCATATTATCTGACCCATTGAGATGGTAATCGACATTTCCATGCCTAATCTGCACACAAAATCGAGCGTAGCAGGTATTAGACTTCTGCTTCTAATGTAAATTCTCTTTAATGCTACCCTGCAGGCTCTGCACAGCCTGATGGTCCTAATGCCAGACATTTAGCTTTAGGATACAAGTGTGACTTTGAATGGAGATCTAGGTAATTTATGTACATTTATTACTGTCAATGTTTATCTAACTGCATCTCATTAGAGACTGTTTTTTGGTAGTGAATCTTTCCGTGTGGTGCTTTAATGCAATAGATTTTAAACCCTCAATAAACTCAAATTCATTTGTGGGGGAAGGGGGAATTTCACACCTTCTCCCTCAACAGCTCTGACGAACTGGAA